GGGAATACCACTATAACCAAAAGGATCCATTATAAAAAAATAAGATGAATTTGATAGACACTAGAGAGAGAGCTTTAGAAAAATTGTGAGAGAGATTGAGAGAGATTGAGAGAAATTGAAAGAGATTGAGAGAGATTGAGAGAAATTGAGAGAGATTGAGAGGGATTGAGAGGGATTGAGTGAGAAAAATATGTGAGGGATGGAGGGAATTTATAGAGAAATTTTTGGGGTTAAAAAATGATTTTTTTTTTAAAAAAAAAGGGATAAAACGGCTAGTTTTTTGAAATTCGAGTTCGGGCAGTCGTGAAAACTCAGGCAGCTCGGGTTTTCGGGCAAAATTCAAAAAACTAGCCGTTTTTGGGCAATTCGGGCAGTTTGGGCAACTCGGGTTTTCGGGCAGAATTCGGGTAAAAATTCAAAAAACTAGCCGTTTTTGGGCAATTCGGGCAGTTTGGGCAACTCGGGTTTTCGGGCAGAATTCGGGTAAAAATTCAAAAAACTAGCCGTTTTCGGGCAAAATTCAAAAAGCTAGCCGTTTTCGGGTATTCGGGCAATTCGGGTGGGTCGGGCAATTCGGGCAGGCGGGAAAAATTCGGGCAAAATTCAAAAATTCTGGCTTCGGGTCGGGCAATTCGGGCACACCCAATTTTTGGGCAATTTTCGGGTCGGGCAGTTCGGGCTTGGTCGGAAAAATGCAAAAAAATCCCGGCGGACGGCGGTATACGATGGTTAGACGGCGGCGGGCAAGGGTGGACATGTAAAATCCGGGCTGCCCGAGCCCGAACCCGAATTTCTTGCTTGGACGGGCGGGAATTGGGCCGGCCCGCACGAGCCCGAAAAAATTCGGGCTTCAGGCAGCCCGCCGACCCGAAGTTCCAGCACTAAACGCAGGTGTGCACAGAGACCAAGAAACCCCAACGACCACCACCGTCTACCACCTTTAGCACCGACGAACCCACGACAGCGAAAACCCACGGCAGTAAGAACTCACGCAATCACGCGACGAGAACCGACGAACCTTTGCCGGAGAAATCAGCACCTAAACCTCTTCGTCAGAAAAGAACGAACTGAGGAAACCTCCCCCTCTTCGTCGGAGAAATCAGCCACGAAATAGACGAGGTTAATGGCAGATTCTGAGACAAGGGCGAAAACTTTGTTGGCTTTTCTTATTTATTTGTTTTTTTTTCTTACATATTTATTGTTTTTTTTTTACCATTTTATGTCATCTTAGAAGAAAATAGTGGCTTTGGAGGAGGAGATAAAAGTAGATAAGGTCAGTTATTTGAAATTTTTGGGAGTCATTGGATTCTCATTATGCTCATTATTTAGTCTGTGACTCTGCCTGATGGCCGGTCATATCATTATGACCGCTTGATAATTTTAGTATGACCGATCATAAGACAGGCACATCGTGCGATCATAGTAATATTATCGACGGTCATAATTACTATGACAACTCATTAGGCAGGCAGGCGCATAGTGCGATTGTCTGACTAATGAGCCTGTGATCATAGCATTATGACCCTCGGTCATAGTAATGTGACCGCACAATTGTCAGGCTTGTAGTGCGACTGTCTTGCGGTTATAGCATTATGACCCTCGATCATAGTAATGTGACCGCACAATTGTCAGGCTCATAGTGCGACTGTCTTACGATCATAGCATTATGACCATAGGTCATAGTAATGTGACTATACAATTGTCAGACTCTTAGTGTGCCAGTCATAGTACTTTTTTTATGGACGGCCACCAGTCATAACACCATGAGCGAGCCTGTATGATGGGCGGTCATAGAATTATGACCGTCGGTCATAATACTATGACCGTCGCAAGACTCTTAGTGTGCCAGTCATAGTACTTTAGTTAACAACTTTGTTTGCTTTTCTTATTTTTTTTGTATTTATTGTTTTTTTTTTACCATTTTTGTCATCTTAGAAGAAACTAAAGGCTTTGGAGGAAGAAATGTCGTTGATGGAATGTGACATCATAGTCAGACGATATTTTCACAGGAGCTTCCCCTCTTCAACAACATATCTTAAGGATAAACCTTTTCTTTGTCACCAAATCTCAAGTACATTTCTCACCAAATCTATAAGACCAATATAAGTTGTGTTGGTGGGGACCAATATCCCATTCATTTCACAATCGATGTATCTCAAAGCACGGCCTCAATATCCATTGTACTTGATGAAGACGTTCAATCTAGCAGCCATTCCTAAATAATTTCAAAAATAATAACTGTTAATCAACATGTAATTACTCATAGTCGTCATCAAGTTATTAGAAATGGTCAATCATAACACTGTGTAATGGCCGGTCATAATGTAGTGATAATGTTCCAGTCATAACACTATGGGTCATTTCAGTCATAATATTATGACCGGACGGTCATATCACTATGACTGCCTTACGTTCATAATACTATGACCGGCCATTTTGACTCATATTGTTATAACTTGACTCATACTGTTATGACTGACGGGTCATAGTATTATGACTGGACATATAACACTATGAGTCATAATACTATGACTCCCAAGGTCAACTATGTATTTGACGTGTTGGTCGTTACAATCAGTTTACATATTAGTTGCAAACCATCCAAAATCTCAAATTGATGAAGGATATTTTCAATTCCTATCACATTAAGTTCAACCCAGTCATTTTTTTCAAGTTCTATATACTAAGTCTCCCGAAAAATAAATTTAAAAAGACAAAAATAAAAGAAAAAGAAGAAAAATTGTGTACCAACCTCGATCTGTGCACAACCAGAGTATTGACGACGGAGGAATGAGGGCATAGGGAAGAGAGAGACCGAGTAGAGAGAGAGCCGAAAATGGGGTGGAGAGAAAAAATTGTGTACCAACCTCGATTTGTGCACAACCGGAGTATTGACGACGGAGGAATGAGGGCGTAGGGAAGAGAGAGACCGAGTAGAGAGAGAGCCGAAAATGGGGTGGAGAGAGAGAGAGAGAGAGAAAATAAGCGGGAGAGAGTTGAGAGTTTTTTTGAGATGTTTTTAAATGATAATTTTAACCTAAGTGGCATATAAGTCATTTTACCTCACATTGCTAACATGACAATGCTAGTTGTGAAACTATACAAAAATAGTGTTAAAATTAATAATAATTTATTCATGAGTGCTATTATTAAAATTAACCCTAAAAAATATACTATTCACTTCAAATATAGGTATAAAATATGCTATATGATGCATTTTCCTAATATTTTTCTCCCTCAAATTATCTCATTGCAATAATTTCTTTTTATATGTCCTAATCAATTTTTTTTTATTTTAAAGGAAATGATAAATAATATTTAATATTTTATTCTAAATTTTATGTGTAATATTTTCATATAAATTTCTTTCATATGTACTACTAAATAATTTTTGATTAATTCGTCTCATTAAGAACTTTTTTCTCTTTTAATGTTGCTTTATTAATATTTTCCTACTGAATTTAATCGTTAAGAAAATAATGATAAAAACATAAACTATAAAATTTTCAAAAAAAAAAAAGACCTCCATATAAAAAAAATATTGAATACACAAACGCGGAACGTGTGTTTATGATTAGTTATAACAAAAATACCCTCCGGCTGTTTGGATGAGGTAGTTTTTTTTGTAAAGTTAAAAGCTGAATGATGTGCGAAATGTGATGTTTGAAATATTATTGCCGATTACTAAAATTTCTTATTGCAGTTTTTTTGTGTATATTACAGTTAAAAGTTTTCAAAAAATATCACATTTAATTTTTTTTACTACAGTTAAAAGTTCTCAGAAAATATTACATCTCAGATTGAATTGAAAATTTAAATCCGTGTATCACTAATGGACTTGATAGTTTATCATTGTTTGACTAATATTAAGGGAGAAAGAGGAAAATAGACCAAGACTTGAGATGAATTAAAATTAATAGGTTAATAGGTTACATAAGTTAATAATAGGCTAAATTACTGTTTTCGTCTATAACTTGTCTGGTTACAAACCATAACTTGACAAGTTATTTACGATTTTTGTCCATAACTTATCTGACTATGAACCATAACTTAACAAGTTTGTCCATAACTTATATGGTTATGAACCATAACTTGACAAGTTATGGCCTATTAATTTCTATAACTAAAAATTAGCCTATATACTTTCTTAAACTTTTTATATTGACATATTTTTTACTATTTTCCTAATATTAATTAGTTTATTGTTATGCGTAAGCTTTTTCCATTGTTCTTCTATTTCTACCATCGGTCAAAATTCTTTTCCTTTAATTTTTAAGTAGATTCTTTGGTACGTCGGTGTATTTATAGATCATGTTTTTTAATCGTTGAATTTGTATATTTTTTGACTTTTACATAATTTTATGCAGATTTAACGGTTAAAAAACATGATCTACTGGTATATTGACATACCATAGAAAGTCCTTAATTTTTAATAAAGAAATAAGGCCTTTATTAAGGTGGTGTTTATTTTTTTGAGATCTTTTTGGGTACGTCAACATACTAATAAATTAGATTTTTAGTCTGTTAAATCTGTATAAAAGTACTTAAAAATCAAAAAATATAAATATCTAACAGGTAAAAAATTTAACATATCAGTACACTATACGTTTTTTAAAATCTCTAGGGATATTTTATTTAAAAAAATCCAAGAAGGATTGGAGATGTGAATTTCCACAGGATGGGCAATGGTCAGATTGTTACTTCCATTATTAGTGCATAGAAATTGACTCGTGGTTCACGTGATTACTATTAAATATTTTCTAGATAAGGCAATCCCATCATAACGAATCTAAAAACTACTAAAAAAAGAGAAAAAAAGAAAAAATTATAAACAATTACCAACAGCTCCAATATATACATATTATATTTTCGAATTGATAGAATGTTAATTAAGCATACCGATTCGGAACAATCGCAGAGGACAAATTGAACTACCAAGCATTACTGAAAAGTAAGCACCAAAATAGATTGTGATGGGTAATGTCTTACTTTCCACTACAAGGCAATATTATTGAGTTTCCGCAGGAAAAATAAAAAGTTTAAGTCATTGAGTTTGGTACTTTATAGGCCGAAGGCAAAACCCCACAACTAACATCATAATGGGATTATAATGAAAAATGCAGAATCTTTAATAGGTACATACCTCCGTTGAAATTAATTAAATTATCATATTTGATTTGATATAATTCTAATTTAATATGACAGTTAAAAATGGTATTCTATTAAGATGGTATTTTTTTTTCATACTTAATATTCTCATATGTGTGTATCATAATCACAATTACTTAAAAAAAAAGCATCATAATCACATTTCTTAGTAACATTTTAGAGCAGTGACCAACCACAACAAACCAATACCGTCCGGGGCCAAATAATGGTTATTTCTGGGGTCGTTGGAAAACATTGCCTTCTAATTCAAACTCCTTTCTCTTTCCTTTCTCTCTCTCTCTCTCCCTTTTTCTTTCCTTTCTCTCTCGCTCTCTCTCTCTCTCTACCAATTGACATCTAATTTTGGATTTTCTTCAAAGAAGATGCAATGATCCACATTTCATATGTCATAGATAGCAAGAAGAATCATCAATAATCAATTAAAGAAGAAGAAGAAGAAGAAAGAAGAATCATATTCAATATGACAGGACAATCAACAAAATGGATGATAGTGGCGGCAGCAATATGGATACAAGCATTCACAGGCACAAACTTGGACTTCTCTTCTTACTCTTCTCATCTCAAGTCTGTGCTGGAGATTTCTCAGGTGCAGCTCAACTATCTTTCCGTCGCCTCCGATCTCGGAAAGGCCTTGGGTTGGTGCTCCGGCGTTTCCCTGCTTTATCTTCCTCTATGGACTGTCATGTTCATCGCCGCGTTAGTCGGATTCTTCGGTTACGGTCTCCAGTGGCTTGTCCTTCAAAGACTCATCTCCCTGCCTTATGCCCTGGTAAGAAGTTTGTTCCATCTTCTCCTACTTTCCATTCCTTTCTCTTACTTCACCAAAATTAGCCTTTCTAAGAAACTTCATGAAATCTTAACCTCCATTGACAAGGAAAAAGCATAGCCACACGTTTCAAAATTAACATCCAAGCACTTCACATATACATAGGCATTTCAAGAAAGCGTAATAGGGATTAGGGACTAAACATATCGGATTACGAGGTGATTAGTATAATTGAAATCTTGAGAGAAATGATGAATATGTTGATTAAGAGGGATCGGGGATGTAGACAATATACTTAAACAAAAAACTTCAGATTCTAGGAGTGACAAACTTAGTTGAGATGTCTTAATTTACCTTATATCAGTTACCCTCTTTCGTCATCTACTTAAAATGATAAAATTAGTATACATATAATAGATGGTTTGGATCATGTCATGAGATTCAAAAGTTACCTAACAAAATTTGTGAGAGTGTAGAAAGTAAACTGTAAGTCTAGAAGGTGTTCTTTCTTTCTTTCTTTCTTTTTTTTGGGAATTATTTTCTGAAAATATTGCTATCTACAATAAGCAATACAAATAAATAGTGCATATACGGCAACCAAACTGGCTGCAAGTACAACAACCCTTTGATTAACGAAGCACGATCAGTTGGACCAACTGATGTTAGGTTTTTTTTTTTTTTTTTTTTTTTTTTTTTTTAAAATTTTTTTTTTTTTATTTAAAATTATTGGGAAAAAAAATAAAAGTGTTTTTTTTTTTTTTTTTTTTTTTTTTTTTTAAATATGTTTATTTTCTAATTACAATCATTAGGAAGATAATATTACAAAACCAGCATTTCCTCCATAACAATCATGGATTAAGCCTGCTCTCAAAATTCAAACAGATGAAACCAATACGAATTATAAGACCTTTGTTTGAACCAAAAAATAGAAGCAATACAACTCCTAAGCAGTCCAGCATTTTGTCAAGTACACACACAGATACATACATACATACATATATATATTTTTTAAGTTCATCAATTGTTGAGAATGCAGGTCTTTCTACTATGTTTATTGGCTGGCTGGAGCATCTGTTGGTTCAACACAGTCTGCTTCGTTTTGTGCATTAAAAACTTTTCCACCAACAGAGCACTAGCCCTATCTCTCACATTAAGCTTCAATGGCCTCAGTGGAGCTCTATACACCCTTGTGGCCAATGCAATAAACCCGAAAAGCGACACCCTTTATCTATTCCTAAATGCCATGGTCCCGCTCATCATATCCAGCGTGGCAATCATCCCCGTAATCCGCGAACCTCCCCTGAAGCCCCTTCCTGCTAAAGTCACTCGCTGCGAGTCCCTAGTTTTCCTTTGCCTATACATACTGGCTGCTATAACCGGCCTCTATCTCCTTTTCCTAAATTTTTTATCAACTAACGCGCCAAGAGCTCGTTTTCTCCTAGTTGGTGCTATTTTTCTCCTCACCCTACCCTTTTGCCTGCCTGGTATTCCATATGCTAGGCATTTGGCGCGTCGAAACATCCACTTCAGCTCCTCTTCAAATAATCTGAGCTTCCATATGGATGACAACAACGAACCTGAGCTCTATGAGGAACTCATTGAAAGAGATGATAGCATGCTTGATGACGTGACCGACATTATGTTTGGGGTGGTAGCTAAGGAAGACTGCTTAGGGAAAGTGATAGAGAAAGATACAGCAGCGATGATGCTAGGAGAAGAGCACCCAGCACGACTACTTGTCCGTTCTTCGGATTTTTGGCTTTACTACATCACTTACTTTTGTGGAGGGACAATCGGATTAGTTTACAGCAATAATCTCGGGCAGATTTCTCAATCACTTGGATACGCTTCTCAAACTAGTTCACTTGTCACGCTCTACTCCTCGTGCTCCTTCTTTGGACGTCTGCTATCAGCTGCCCCGGATTTCCTGCGTGAGTATGTATTTACTTTATTATAGATATCCATAAAAAATGAGAAACGAAACACGGAGGGCATATTCCACTATAAACCTGAATTAGATCTACATTAATACGTTGAAGAAATTGACTCTTGACAGCAAAAATGTGTAACCAATGCAGCAAGGTCTATTTCGCGAGGACTTGGTGGCTTGCGGTTGCTCTAGTACCAACACCAATAGCCTTCTTTTTGCTAGCTGCGTCAGGCAGTGAGGCAGCACTGCGCATTGGCACGGCCCTGATTGGGCTAAGCTCCGGGTTTGTGTTTTCTGCAGCAGTTTCAATCACATCGGAGCTTTTTGGGCCAAACAGTGCAGCGGTCAACCACAACATCCTCATTACCAACATCCCGATTGGCTCGCTCCTCTACGGCCTTCTTGCTGCCGTAGTGTATGATTCAAATCAAGGAAGCTCAACCAAGGCAAGCTTATTGAAAGAAGCAACACTGTGCATAGGCACAAAGTGCTACTGGCAGACATTTATGTGGTGGGGATGCATTTCTGTATTGGGGTTAGTTTCAAGTTTCTTTCTATTCCTAAGGACACGGTCCGCTTATGATCTCCTTGAAAGGGATCGTAGCCGAACACAATTCTCATTGTAGTTCAGGACTCATCTTGATACAATGAGAAACTGCACATGTTGGAGCCAATCTTTAAGATTTGATTGAATTCAAGTAAGAAATAAACACTTAACTAAAGCTTGTTCCCAATCCATCATGATGAAGACAAATGAGAAGACTCAACAACGGTAGGCAATATAGACCAGGCGTTCTCATAGGTGGTGCGTTGCTAAGAAAACATTTCATGACTTACTTTTTTTTATTATTTATTAAATGGAAAAATTGGGTCAAGAAACTAATTAGGCTGTAGCCAAGACAACCTAAATAGCCGAACTGGCATCAATTAAGGGCCAAAAATGCCCACTTAATTGGTCTAGCAAAAAATTTGACATGATTACATAATCAAACAACTGAAAACTTTTAATCCAATCATCGAGGTTTATTAAACAAAATTAAGACCCATAACCAAATGTCAAATAGTTAGCAAGCCTAAGCTCAAATAATATCCCATTTTTTGGACCTTCAGATTATGATACTTGCATGACACATTCCTCCCTCCTCAAACTATATAGAAATTCTAACAAACCAAATATGTAAGTACTTGTTTTTATCAACAGCATCTTGTTTAAGTGCATCGCAAACATAATAAAACTCCCTAGAGTTAATAAATAGTTAGTTGGAAAATGTTGTTCCCAAATACCATGGATGCTACGTGAATAGAAATGTACATCAAGTAACATCACAGAAACGACATCAATCCGCTAAAGTTATGCATTTGAGGTACATAAACATGCATCTAAATCTAAGCTACACTACATTAGTCCACGATCACAATGTTGTTTGGAGCATTAAGGGGACAACTAACACATGCTATTCAATAACGATGGGAGAATCCGAACTCTCACCAACAATCTTCGAATGCAATTCAGGTGGGATGTCGCCTCTGAGAATTTGAACTCTAAAAACGAGTTTTTTACAGCTGCTTTCATCGAGTTCAAAGACACACGCATCACCAATCTTCAAGTTGTTGTCGTCCACAAAGTTTTGCCAAGAACCATCAAGTTTCTTGCAGCTGGCATTACTTCCGCGGTAAGTCAGATTCCACTCCTTGCCCCCATATGTGAGAACCGCAGGTGTCGCAAGGGAAGGAAGTACTGGTTGAATTTTGGCCGGAAGCGTCTATCTCAATTTCAAACAAAACAATGCCATAAAAAAGCAGAGTCTGTATGTATGCAAATTTATATGTATGAAAACAAATAAAATAAAATGGAAGAGGTTAAAACGTTTTCGATTACCAATAGATATCGAGGATTGATATGTGACTTTGTAAGAATGATATCAAAAAACGGCTTCTTCCCTGAGAGTGTCCAAAATTCCTCACTTTCTAAGTCATGTTCAGTATTTGATACGGGGCTGGTGTTGAAAGCGGAATGTGAGTCTTGTTCCATTTTTGAGATGTTGTGCTTCGACTGTTAAACAATCAACAAGTTCAATATTTGTATTTTGATTCTAAACAAATGTACTTCTTTGTCTGCCATAGAACCACAAGTCATGAAGTCTTTATGGAATAAGAGGGGGAAAAAAAAAAAAAAAAGGCAAAAATAGCCAAAAGTTTAGTACCATTAAGAGTTGTGAAATTATTTCAAAAAGTACAAGATGAGACTATACAACAATCTTTGGAGCTTCTACTTGTCTTAAAGAAGATGAATTTTGACCAATTAACCTGCCATATATTATGAAATTTATACACTGAGCATTTTTTTTTCCCTCTTTAAAAACTGAGCATTTACTTTATATGAATTTTGCAATATGGAATTGAATGTAACATTAAAAAAAAAAAAAAAACTGCTTAAAAAGGTAACTGGGTGCATTATCCTAGGTCGCTGGAAGAAAAAAAAAATAAAACAGAAAAAATCCCCCCAAATATGCATGTCCTTAAAATAAAAATTAAAAAAAAAAAAACTTATTCTAAAAATCAACTACTACCACCAAATATGTCGTTTTCTCTGGAAATCTCCTAAACTAGTCTTATAGTCCATTATGCAACCACAGTCCACAAGTCATGACTTTGCTTTTAATAAAACCCAAAAGTGGTTTTTTTTTTTTTTTGTCCAAAGTTTGAGGATGTAAAGTTACTTAGGGTTCAAGAAATGATTTTTCTGCCACATATTCACTAGTCATAAAACTTTTAATTTTTTAAAGTGGAAAAAGAAAACTAAAGCCAAAATCCTTTTCAAAAAGTTTAAAGTTGGAAAAGTCACTTGTAGGGTTGAAGAAATCCTGCCCTAGTGTGAACAGTGTTGTTCATAAGTAAAAAATAAAAAAAAATAAAATAAAAGTTAATGAATTTGAGTCCTTATTTGCATTACCTCTAAGCCTGAGATTGACAATGCACAACAATCTTTGTCTTTGTCTTTGTCTTTCTCTTATTTTCTCTTCTCTTCTATTCCTCAAGCTTCAAAACCAAATTCTCAGCTTTCTTTTCAGTAGTTGAACGCTGAGAGAGATTCTTCCATTATTATATCATCTCATTTCTTCCGGAAAACTTTTGGGCCGGGTCACAAGGCCCGGAAGACGTCTGACTAAAGTTAGTTTCATCGCTCATGTGAATGAAACACTACGGCCTCGTTCACTTCGCGAATTTGAGTTTTCAATTCGAATTAAAATGTGATATTTTCTGAGAGTATTTCATTGTAGCAGAAAAAATTAGATGCAATATTTTCTGAGAGCTTTTTACTGTAAAAATTCAAAACTGAAAACTCGAATCGGTAAAATGAACAGGACCTACCTCTCTCACATTTAGTTAATCATGAGATTATAATCACTTCTAATTTACGTGTATTTTTTATAAGAGAAAATATTGTAGTAAATCATGAATCAGATTCAAATCATGATATGAATCCCCTTACTAAACGTCTTGGTGGTTGATAGATTTAAAATTATAATTCAGAATAATTTTCAGAATCATTCTTGATTTATGTGTATTTTTTATAATGAAAAATATTATAACGAGCCACAAATTATGATTTGAATCAGTAAAAAAAAAAAATAAATAATAATAATAAAATAAAAGTTAATGAATTTGGGGCCTTATTTGCATTACCTCTAAGCCTGAGATTGACAATGCACAACAATCTTTGTCTTTGTCTTTGTCTTTCTCTTATTTTCTCTTCTCTTCTATTCCTCAAGCTTCAAAACCAAATTCTCAGATTTCTTTTCAGTAGTTGAACGCTGAGAGAGATTCTTCCATTATTATATCATCTCATTTCTTCCGGAAAACTTTTGGGCCGGGTCACAAGGCCCGGAAGACGTCTGACTAAAGTTAGTTTCATCGCTCATGTGAATGAAACACTACGGCCTCGTTCACTTCGCGAATTTGAGTTTTCAATTCGAATTAAAATGTGATATTTTCTGAGAGCATTTCATTGTAGCAGAAAAAATTAGATGCAATATTTTCTGAGAGCTTTTTACTGTAAAAATCCAAAACTGAAAACTCGAATCGGTAAAATGAACAGGACCTACCTCTCTCACATTTGGTTAATCATGAGATTATAATCACTTCTAATTTACGTGTATTTTTTATAAGAGAAAATATTATAGTAAATCATGAATCAGATTCAAATCATGATATGAATCCCCTTACTAAACGTCTTGGTGGTTGATAGATTTAAAATTATAATTCAGAATAATTTTCAGAATCATTCTTGATTTATGTGTATTTTTTATAATGAAAAATATTATAACGAGCCACAAATTATGATTTGAATCATGACACAAATTCACTAACCAAACACACATAATTTATCGTAAAGAATATCACTAGATGACAAAATTATGAGTGTAGTTGAAACAGACAAGAAAAAGAAAAATAACATAATAATTATTATAAAGATATTCATGTTCACACAGCAATAGCGTGATAGCGGTAAATAACTAAACTTCATAAATGATACCGAACCTAATTTACATCATTTAAACTATTGTTTTCTAATGACTAAGAGCATCTTTAATACAATGCTAAATTGATATATTGATGTCTTATTTTAACATTCATTTATTAAACTAGTGTTATTCTTGGTGTTAAATTTGACATATGCTTTTCTTGATGGTAAAATTTGGCACTCAATGTATCATTAACCAAATTTCATAATTTAGTTTTTATAAAGTTTTAATTTTATAATCTGTCCTCCTATTTCCTCTCCTTCTACCGAACACACCCTAAGGTTTTGAATTATTATTATTATTATTATTATTATTATTATTATTTATTATTAAGGTTACATCAGTGAGATTGCGATACGAAATTGTGGTCCAGAAGTCTTTTGCCATCCAACATTTTTTCATTAAGGACCATCCTTATGAAACCAGCAACAGCTTGTTAACTTCACATCTTAGTAACCCAACAGACTAAATTACAAAATAAAATAAAATAAAAGGCAAAATTAGCGCTTTGTTTTTTCTATTTTTAGTGATTCTAATTGTTTCATGAGATGTAGGAATTGCAACTGGTTAAGTGAATTGAGAAAATGTATAACCAGGCCTCGTCAAAGCTCCAAAGAGAAGGGAAAGAAATATTACACGTTTGCTTTGTCAGTTTAAATCACATTTTTTTCTTTTTGAGAAACCAAATGTGAACTAAAATCCAACGTGACATAAATGTTTGGTTTACAAATTTAAAATATAATTTAAAATTATTCTTAATTTATGTGTATTTTTTATAAGAAAAAATACTGTCACGAATCACGAATCATAATTCAAACTATGACACGAATTCTCGTACCAAACACTAAAAAACCAAAGGCAGTGGCGGAGCCCTTATTCTTCTTCTTATTTTTTATTTTATTTTGTTTTTTTCAATAGAGGCACATTTTCTTATTCTTCTTATTTTTTATTTTATTTTGTTTTTTTCAATAGAGGCACATTTTAACTTTCTGCTACAAGTAAAAGTAGCGCTTCTTTACTAGTACAGTAATCCGAAACTGAGCCTCAAATGTCAGGCAGTAATTGTAAAGTCATCAGCGGATGATTACCTTATCAGATCTGCAGCCACGAAGTTGTCTTTCATAGGATGATTTAGCAGCAAGCGTTATTGCCCAAAATGTTATGTATCAATAACATTGATTCTTGAAAATACTAAAATGTTGGAAAGAAATGTCGTGCCATACTAATTTCACAAAATGATGTCTGAAACCAAATAGATTTTATGTCAAAGTGCCCAACTCTTAATTGATCATAACATTTCTATTATCTTCATCATCTCTTTCCTTCCACTTCGTGTTAGAACCCAAAATAAAAGGTCTTTACAACACCTTAAAACAAATATTTTCATTTCTTGTTCCTTCTTCTTATTTTCATATCTATGTGACGCCAACCAAACCGTTATAAGAACGTTACATTTGCACTTCTAAGCTCTTTGAGCATTGATTTTCTTTGTCTTTATTTGTTTAAAATATTTTATGCAAACCGTTTGTACTTTACAGTTCAAGTATACAAGACAATCGGCAATTTGGGTTTTTGTCCAATCTCCAGGATTCATATTTCTTTGGCGGGGGGAAAAAAAAGGTGTGTTGCAAATGTTAAATGAAACATGTATTCACAAGCATTCTCAATAAAAGATTTCCATCTATCTTCTTCATACATTTGTCTTACGAATACAGACTATACAGTCGTTTCATCAGCATTCGCATCCACGATGACCGTGAAGAAACCAACATAGTAGTTGATTAGTTTCGACAACAATAATGATAAAAACAGACAAGCTCGGTATCATCAAGCGCTTGATAAAATAAAAGGCCAAGGAAGGTTTATAGAAATGCTTTTGCACACCAGATAGTACTACCATTGTAGAGGAAGATCACTTCGAACGGATCAACAATTGGATAAGATAAAATCTAAGGATAAGATAAGGTTCTAAACCGTCTGATTATACCAGAATCATATTAGCTCATGAAAAGTACGAACTTTAACGAAACACAGAATTTGATTAAAAATCTGACCTTTTTTTTTTCAGTTCCTTATCTTACTTGAGAATTCTACTTGTTCCTTGTGTCTTGGCAGGATTAACTCCTCTTAAGAAGCTAATTATAGTCCTAAATCACACACAGCTTATGAATTGCAATCTGTTCCCTCAAATCTCTAGGCTCATGTAATAATTAAGTTGAATGGAAACTTAGCAAGGAACACCACAAACATTCATAATCAAAACAGACAGAAGAAACAAAGAAATGGAATCTGAGACCCTTTGCCAAAAGTTTTAAACGTTTATGATCAAAATTCGAAACAGATACTAGAACAAATCAAGAAATAAAAACTAAGAGCCCTTGCCAAAAGTTGAAACCAATGCAGCTACAAAAACTAAAACAGAATCACAAATCCACCACTAGGTCCTAAAAAAAAAAATAATAATAATAATAAAAGAAGCAGAAACAAAGAAAAAGAAAAGAACCCTTTTTAGCTCTTTTTCTCCTCTTCAATTTCACCTCCCTCCTTCTTCTTCTTCGAAGCCGAATTAAAGAACCCTTTTTAGCTCTTCTTCTCCTCTTCAATTTCACCTCCCTCCTTCTTCTTCTTCGAAGCCGAATTCGCCTGCGAGTACAAGAAAGTCCCGAGTATCGCAATGGCTGATCCGAGCGCATTGAGCGGCCTAACCGGGTTTCTGAACACCAAAATAGTGGACACAATAACCACCACTCTCTTCATAGTGTTCCCAACCGAGAACGTCAAAGGACTAATCTCATCAAGCGCTTGGTAAGACGACTGGTTGTAGAGATGATAAAAAACACCAGACAACAAAACCCAAATGTAAAAAGTAGTTGGTTTCCCCACAGCTTGTACCGCATTATGATATCCTTGAATCCATTGCGACCCTTCAACGAAAACCGCAACGGGGAACAAATAAATCAGCGAGATTATACTTATCCAACCATATAAATTCAGCCCATTTACTTCCTTAAAGCTCTGAAGACTTTTCTTGGAGTAAATGTTTCTCAAAACAAACCCAACATTGCTTATCAAAGCGCCCCACAAGCCTTGCAAGTTGAAGGAAACTTCGGTGACGGCGGCCAAAGAACAACCGAGGACAATGGGGAGGATGGAGAGCCAGACACTGAGGGGATATTTGTCGCCGAGAAACGAAGAAAAGACGACGGAGAAAACGGGCTCGGAAGATTTGATAACGTGAGTGAAGGAGACGGCGACTTTGGAGAAGGAAACGCAGGCGGAGATGTGGCCAATGGTGTGGAACAATGCGGGTCCGAGGAGGGCTAAAATGAAAGGTTTGGAGATTTTGGGGCGGGGTTGGAGCTTCAAGGACCAGAGGAGCAACATCCAGATGGAGCCCACGAAGAGCTGGAAGGAGGCGAGGAGCCACGGGAAAGGGAAGACGTTAAGAGCCTTTTTGTTGTAGATGTTGAAGACGATGTTCTGGAAGTACCAGAGGCCGAAAACGACGGCCAGCTGGCGTCTCTTTTTGGTGCTGTCGTTGGATTGAGATTGGGATTCTTCGCCTTCGGCAGAGGACGCAGATGGGTTTTTGGAGAAAGCGGTGAGGAGGAGGCGGGAGTGGTGTTGGGGGGTCCGGAAAATGGGGGAGAAGCCATTGATGGTGGCGGTGGTGGTGGTGGAGAGTTTTGGAAATGGTTTTCGGTGTTGGATTGCGTGGCGGAGACGGATTGGATTGAGGAGGGAAGAGGGGATTGTGGGGGATTGGTGGTTGGATTTGGAGTTGGAGGAAGTGGCAGGGGAGAAAGGGGTGGTGGTGAGATTCAAAGTGAGCATTTTTTGTTGTTTTCTGATTCAGAGAGAGAGAGAGAGAGAGAGAGAGAGAGAGAATCTGCCAGTACAAGGGAGAGAGATTTGGTAGATAGGAGGGGCCAAGGTTCTTCCACTGGTTTTGAACGCCTTTTTTTTTTAATAGAAAATTATATAAAAGGTTAATTTCACTTGGTCATTTTTAATTTGTCCTGCTAAACTTTAAAATTTTTATTTTATCCATTAAAATTTTGAATTGATTAGACGTGTTCACAAATTGAATTGTGCGAATTTCAGGTCAATGCGCAATCTAATCTGTTATTGCAGATTGAAAAAATTTCTATTCGTTAAACCCCAATTCAATTCAATCCAATCACAATAGATTTTATAGATTGAATTATGCGAATTTATTTGTGTTTTAGACCTTAACTCTTATAGTCCATTTCTTTTTTCAATATTATCATAAAAATTAATAACACAAACATATCATAACATAAAATTAAAATAGTATTAGATTTCATACATAATTATATAATTAAAAGCAAAACTATTACATAAGTTATTTAAACATATATAAAAATATATATGTAATTTGAATTGTTAGATTATGTGGATTGAGAAATGCTCAATCTGCAATTTAATCTTTATTACGGATTGAGAAAATCTTAATTGTTACCAATTTAAAATTCTTTCAATTCAATCCAACCCGCAATAACAGATTGAATTATACGGATTAGCGGATTCAATAAACACCCATAGAATTAATCCAACCCTAAAAACATATAGAAAAATAAGTAGTGTGATAACGTCATCTTTTTGTTAAAAAATAAATGGAAAAAAAATCATGTGATCACACATAACTTTTTCTTTTTTCATCTTATTTTAACAAAAATTCTAACATAAAAAGTTAAGTAGAATTAAATCGAAATTCAAAGGGTTAAAACAAGACCAAATCAATATTTAAATGACAAAGTGTGAGTAAAGCTTTTAGAAGCCAAAATAAGAATAACCATAAAATTTAAGGGTACTAGTGAGGTGGAGCCTGAAAATTTTCTCCTAAGAGTTGTGAATTAAACTAAAATTTTAACTGAAATAACGATGCAACTATTTTAGTAGTTCACATTCAAATTTTATGAATTTATATAATATTATGGTTGCTTTCTGGATTTTGTTTGGATTTTGTCATCGTGTTGATTGGGTTTAAGGACATTTGTAAAACCTTTCACTGGAAAAGAGTCGTTAAAAAATTTGATGGAACTTGACGAAAAGAGTTTAGTTGCAAATGTTTTAAGAGATTGGGGATCTCTTTAATGTAATTGAAAAAAATAAGGATCAAAGCGTCACTTGTTAAAGGTTTAAGGACCTTTATGCAAATTACCTAAAATTTTAAGACAAATCTATTTTTGCCCAAAAATTTGAAAATTCCCTTACCCACCCGATCCCTCTTTCACCTGCCACTCATCGTCGTTAGAATTTAGATTGATCAGATCTTCGCTAATTCTGTAAAATCATCATCACTTTTTTTGTGTGGAGATTATCAGTGGGAAGAAAAATGGCGGCGAGGCAAATGGAAGAGATACAGAGGAAACTGGGAATGTTGAACTATCCCAGAGCAAATGCTCCTGCTCAGTCCCTTCTCTTCGCCGGCATGGAGCGCTACGCCCTTCTCGAATGGCTCTTCTTTCGGTATTTTTTTTTTCTCTTTTCATTGTCATAATTTATTTTGATTGCACTCATTTTGATATCTTAAATTTTAATTTTTTTTAAGGTTGTTGGGAGAGAAGTCACCTTTTTCCCAACAAACTCTCCAAGGAGACACCATGGATCGCGACGAAGAGACTGCTCGAATTCAATGTAAGACTGTCGTATACTTGTTCTGTGAATCCAAAACTATCTGCTTTTTTTTTTTTTTTTGAGAATTTCTGCAGCCGGTAATCTTTTCTTGTAAATAACTGCTAAAATACTTTGCTTATAAGTCACAGTTATGAGCATTGAAATCGTGTCAGAATCATATCGGATACAAAATGATAATTTGATAATACTCGATGAAAATCTTAACGGTTAACTTAAGAACTATTCATTTTATGTATTTTTTTTCTCAAACATTTCTATAGAGTTCTCATTTCTTAAGGCCAGTATGCCAAGTATCATTGTGTTCAGCCATTCGAGAATGGAAAAATACTTCATTCATGGGACACATTTATGAACCTTTAAATCACGTTAGATTAAAAAGAGAGTGATAATTTAACAAAGCTCGATGAACACAAGTCACCCCGTCTCCTATCTGCCACAGAATTCTTATTTCTTAAAGTCACCATGCTAAGAATCATTGTGTTGAGCCATCTGATAAAAATGTCTTATTATCGCGTGCTTTTTCAGATTTAGCGGAGATTGCCAAGTTTCTGGGTATTACAACTACTATAGATACAGAAGCCATTCAGGTTAGTTGTGGTTTATAGCAGCTGAGAGTATAATTAGAATATTGGCTTTCAAATGTACTGCATAAGAGGAGAAATTTTCTTTATGTAATAAGCCGCAATAATGTCTTCCATGGAGTATAAATGTTTGATAAAATAGGCAACCCATGGATTTCGCACTACATTGATTAAGCACTACATTGATTAAGCGGATGTTTGAACTCTGAATGTTGTAGCTGTTTGTATTCCAGAGCTATGCTTATTTTAAACTCTATGAACTTGGCAACCATCACTCGTTGATGTTGAACTTTCCTTGACTTTGGGTAAATATTGCACAATGTATAGGGACGAGGAAGCTATGAAGACCGCACTGAAATGCTTCGCCTTATTGTAGATCTTGTCGAGGCGAGCATATATGCGGATAACCCAGAATGGAGGTTGTGGTGTTTCTAGTTCTTAATTTGGTTTAGATAGTTGATTTTCTCTGATAACCGAAACTTCGACAGTTTGTAAATTTCAAATTTTTACTGTTGTATGAAAAGGGATATCTGAATCTATCTAAGTCCCGGTTGTATTTAACCAAATATCTAATTTGCATAGGAATTTGCAGTGTTGATGAGCAGGTAGCGAAGGATATACAATTAGTTGATTCCATTGCGGAGAAACAAGCTCAGATTTTTTCAGAAGAGTGCAAGTTGTTCCCTGCTGATGTCCAGATTCAATCAATATATCCCTTGTAAGATTCATTTTTCTAATTGGCTAGCGACTATTGATTACATCATGAATAAGTAAAATGCTATTTATTAATCAGAAAATCTAAAGTTTGCTTGATCTGCCAGATAAAATAGATATTTCATAGATTTTCTTAGTTGGAGGAGAGTCTTATTGATTGAGACATACCACTAATCTTAGGTTCCTATCAACGACAGAAAAGTACAAAAGATTTGCTAGAAGACTGTTTGGAGGAGATTAAATATCATAGAATATGTGTCAACCACATTATGTTTAGTTGGAAATGTCAATGCTATATTTAATCTGTTAGAAGACATGCTTTTGAGAACAATATTCAAAGATAACCATTCCGTTATTATTTAGAAGATAACACCGTTGTTTCTTACATTAGTTACCAGATGCCTGGCATTGGAAACTTCGGAATTTAGGATGTAAAGTTGCATGGATACATGGTTAACAGGGAAGCATATAACTTTATGTGTTTTAAAAGGGGAGAATGAATTAGCCAATTGGAATACATGAAATTTGAAACTTTAAACTCTGTAAGTATGGAGTTGCATGACTAGAAAGGCCGGTAGAGAGAAAGGAGTGGAAATTTGTTTGGTACTCATTCAAATTATGCCATTGCCCATGTATAGATTTTCAGAAAAGCATGGGGTACTTGCTATGTTGTTGTATGCTCACTATTCCTGTTTTGCGGGATATCAGGAATCATGCTCCATTGACATTAGCATACTACTTGTCAACATCATGTATTCTTCCTTTTTGTTTGGCCAAAGATAGGTGATTTTGACTTTGAGTAGTGATCCAAGATTGTTACTATATTGTTCCACTTTTCCAAACTCTATATTTCTTTTATATTTTCTTTTTCTGTTTTTTGGCTGATGTAGAATTAACAACTTATGTAACCAGATATGGTAACATTCCTTTAATCAAAGTTCATTTGTAGGCATGATGTGTCTGAGCTGGAGACCAAGCTTGCCGAACAATCAAAGATACTCTTAAATCTTCAGCAGAAGGTCGATGATTTGGCATCAAAGGTGTCTCTTTGATCCTAAAATGTAAACTTGCTTTATTTCCCAATGATCTAGTGCGTTTATCATTCAAAATTATTTTGACAAGAAAGAGAGACATCCATTAAAAATAGCCTAGTTTGTTTTATCATTTATTTATATTCTTGAAACTACATAACTCTGTGAGTCATCATAAATATGTTCAAGGATTTCATCTATTATCTCATCATTTTTCTTTTGGTTCCATCTAATCATTATCACTAAACGAGAGAAGAGCAAAAAAAAAAAAAAAAAAAAAAAGAAGTGCACTCTCTTAAACCGTCGAACTGCTTTTCAAGTTGTATTGAGCTTCTCTAAGAAAGAAACGAGAAAACCCGTCAAAGTGTAATTATCCATGTTCGGTTACCTGTACTGTCCACGTTTGCCTACATGCGCTCAATTCTTTAAGAAGCTTTATCCTCCATCTACAATTATTCCTGTTTCCTTTACTATCATGATTTCAATTCTCTGGTTCTCTTATGTTCCTGGCCACGAGTAAACACCATCTCATCCCCTAATTCTTCTCATTCATTGACTTCTGCTAAATGAAATAGCAGAAATCCGTAGTCTGTTCTTGGCAATTCTTGATTTCATAAGATTTACTTAAGTTACTAACAGTTTGCAATATCATTTCTAATCTCTTGTTTTGGATGATTGGACTAATTTTTATTTTTATTCTTTTGCCAATATACTTTCCAAAAGAACTATAGAACGTTCGTTCGCCACTGTATATCTTAACTTCTCTGTGTACCTTGTAGTGGATTGCTTTCTATTTCTTTCTGATCTATTTTTCTTCTCTTTTCCTTATTGGATTTAGCATGCTTACAACCCAGATGAAGAGCATGCAGAGGTGGAATCCCAATTGCGCTCCCATTTGGAATCTTTTCTTGAAACCGCGAGATCATTCAATACAATATACACCAAGGTATTCTGATGTTGATTCTTTGTTGTGTATGCTGTCATTTCTTACATTTCTTCTGTACTGGTTTTGTTGAAAGTTGGTTTGTCTTCTCTTGGTAGAGTTTTTCTGCATCTATTTTATCAGATCAGATCCTCAATGCTAAATATTTGCATTTAAAACCATGCTTTTGTAGGAAATTCGTCCCTGGACACACATGATGGAGGTACCCCAGCTTCACGGGTTTGGACCAGCCGCCAATCGTTTATTGGAGGCATACAAGTTGCTTTTAAAGGTACTTCATTGCTATTTACGCTGTGCAAGTTTTATTATAATTGTTATTGTTACTTTTTTTTTTGCCTACTTTCCCTATATTGATAATGAATATGCTATGCTTCTATGACAACGTTGCTTCTGTTTGCTTGCCAATTTTCTTTTCTGTTAGTGAGCTCTTTGTATGATGCTTGCAGTTCTTGGGCAACTTGAGGAACCTGAGAGATTCATATGCGGCTCTCGCTGTTGGTTCGTCAGAAACAATCGCTGGTGAGCCCTCCTCCGTCACGAGAATTATCTCGGAGTGCGAGTTCGCCTTGACATTCTTAAATCGTGACCTTGGAATTCTCACATCTTCCATTGCTCGGGAGCGGGGCGAGGAAGTAAATTTAAGGTGAAAACTGTTGTCACAATATCACCAGTGCTGGAATCTTTGAACATAATATCATTACTGTTTACTGACTTCTAATTGTTGTGCCACTAGCATTGCTACTGGCATTTTTGTGGTTTGCCAGAACTACTTAATGCTTATAATCATTTGTGGACATGTGCCAGCCTAAAAGATTGCAATGAAGGAAACGGCAATTCTTTTTTTTTTTTTAATCAAAAACTGCTTAATGCTTATAATTTTTGTGTACATATGCCAGCCTAAAAAGCTTGCAATGAAGGAAACGATTTTATTATTGTTATTATTATTACTATTGTTAAATGATTGCAATTAAGGAACCGTTACGCGATACAATGGAACAATTTTTTGGAGCACCTTTGGTGGCGCTCTATCTTAAAGCAAAAATAAATGACGACATAGCAATAACAAGTTTATTATGAACTTGAAAAAAGAAAAAAGTTTATTATGAGACTGGTCCAGGAAAATATACATAAGGTCCATTTAGTTTGTTGATTTGAATTTTTAATTCGAGTTGAGATGTGATTTTATATGAGTTTTTTGCTGTAACAAAAAAGTTAGATGTGACTATTTTTTAGAGCTTTTTACTGTAGCAAAACTCAAATTTTAAACTCAAATAGGTAAAATGAACAGGGTCATAGACTAGTATGAGAGGGTGTTCCTCGTCCCTGCCAATAACAAAGATATTTTAGTTGCATGTCTTATTTTACAGAACTTATACTCAAAGGTTTTCAGTATGGTTAACAAGGTTTAAATACAAAGAATTATTTCTCTAGACATTTCTCGTTATAAAAATATATAAATAATTATGTTAATTCAACTTATAGCGTTGAACATGTATAGTTTTTTTTTTAATATATATTTTTCATTAGCATTTTCAAGTATATAGATATATATATATATAAACATGAATAAATATGCCAATCCATATTCATTTATTAAGTTAAAAATTAATATCATAAAGATTTTAATGTAATAGTCTAAACTTACTAAATACCTGTGATATATATACCCCTTAATTTCCCCTCAACCATTGCACACATTCCCTTTCCTTCTCTTCTCCTCTCCCTCACACACCAGTTTTTATCATTTTTCTTATCATTGTCTCCTAGCCATGACAAGAACGAAAGTAAAACTCGCCTACATCACAAACGACTCGGCGAGAAAAGCCACATTCAAGAAGAGAAAGAAGGGACTGATCAAGAAGGTCAGCGAGTTGAGCACTCTCTGCGATGTCGATGCTTGCGCGATAATCTGCAGCCCCTACAACGCTCAACCGGAGGTTTACCCTTCGTCATCGGGTGTCCAACGAGTCCTGGCTAAGTTCAAGAAGATGCCGGAGATGGAGCAGAGCAAGAAGATGGTGAACCAGGAGAGCTTTCTTCGACAGAAGATCGCCAAGGCGAACGAGCAGCTGAAGAAGCAAAGGAAGGAGAACAAGGAGAAGGAGATCACCCATGTCATGTTCCAGAGCCTGACGGGGGCGAAAGGCCTGCAAGGTTTGAGCGTCCAGGACTTGAAGGATCTTGGCTGGATGATCGAGCAGAAGTTGAAGGATATCAACAAGAGGATGGAGAGGATCGGCGACAGCAGGTTACTGTCGACACAAGGCGGCTGCAAGGCACGGGTGGTGGCGGTGCAAGCTGCGACAATTACTGCGGAGGAGAAGCCGAGGAGCTGCAATGGAGAGAGCGCTACATTGGTGGCGACCGGTGCGGTGGAGAGGCCACCGGAGTTCGAGACCAACGGTGATAGCAATATGCAGAGGCAGCTGCAATGGTTCATGGACATGATAAACGTTCCGCAGCAGCATCAACACGTGGGGTTTGGTCGAGAGGATGTGTTGTCTTTTGGAGAAAGTGGTCATTGGCCTAATGGGTTTTTCCCTTGAAAGAAATCTCTGTTTGTTTGTGATATGTTTTTGTTTGTTTTGACGTGACTTCTAGATATGTTATGCTTGTTTACTTCCAATGATGTTTTAGCTTGTTATTTGTATTTAGAGACACCTCATGTTGAGGTCGTTTCTTTTTTTGTTTGAGACTTTATGCTATGAGGATGTTTTGATGTTGAATTATTGATGTGGATATATGTTATGGTTTTTTGCTTACATGGTCTTTGGTATATAGATTTATCATTTCAGCTTTGGACTTGTCATATTGTCTGAGGAAAATGGTTTTCATAGACTTATTAATAATTAACCACTACCAGATGATTGAACAATTTTAGACAATAATAGGGCTTCCTATGGAAACTTTATCAAAGACAAACGATACATCTAGATGCATAAAATATTCCTAAAAATAATTATTTACGAACATAAAATTTTTTGAACAGAAAGCTTTGAGAAAAATTTCCCAGAAGTTACCGGCCAACATCTATCCTAGGAGCCGTTTAGGCGATATTATAGTAGGTTTTAAAAACATTGATTTTTATATTCAAAACATATGTATGCAATTATTTGTGAATGACAATCATGACTTGCCACTTTATAGCTTATAGTAACAAAACGTCTTTCAGAGATAAGAACTGATCCCATGAACGCTTTTCTACCCAAAAAAAAAAAAAAAAAAAAAAAAAAAAAAAAAAATTTTTATTTTAAAAAAAAAAAAATCACCCCCAAAACCCTTTTTTCCCAAAAAAAAAAAAAAAAAAAAAAAAAAAAAAAGATAACGTTTGATTGCTATATATGACATCCAATATATATAACAGAAAACATTTATTGCAAACCGTAATAACTGAACTTTCCAACAGTATCAATTATCAGCAAGCATTCAATTCCTACCATAGAAATACCATTTTCCCACACATTGTATTTTGAGGTTATCAAGAAATCATACCTTGTATTTTGGACTGTATCAAATGTATACCTTACATTTTACCCAATACCTTTTTTTGTCAAACGTTTGTTTTTTACTATGGAAAAGACCTAAATGTCTTTCATATTTTTGATTGTTTAGTGTTGTGTGAGAAAATATGCGTTGACATGTCGGATGATGACCATGCTCCATGTGACCCTAAACTCACCACTTCAGGTAGCTGTCAGCGCCTAAAGCTCATTTCTCCCTCTGCCATCTGGTGAAAAGGCCGATCGTATGAGACGATTCATGCAATCGTCGATCCTACCTATAGTCGAGGTATGCATGATTTGTTCGTAGCAGAAGCAGTACCGTGAGGGGGTCGATCGGGACAGAGGCCGCGCCCTGTGAAGTATAGTGTAGGCGCAGAGGGCAGAACGCATGAGTATGGGTCCACGTCCCAAGAAAGACCTTTGAGGTGATAAGGTAGAAATCCCTAGGTTACGTATGGGTTTGGAGAAGGTCGGTAGCACATGAAATGATTACCTGCCCATAAACCACTTGGAACGGACCAATGGAAATCACAAAGGATCCGCAGAATTGTAATAGTGGACAAAGTGGGTGAGTGAATAATCTAAAAGGTGTTAAGAGGCTACGGTCTAGGCAGGTAGGGTAATAGGCTACTTGAGAGAAACTATCAGAGAATCTCCTGTGACGATCCGCCCTTACATACCCATATGTAATCTGTAGGGTATAAAAGGGACAAAGCACCAGAGAGAAAGGGAGAGTCTTTTTGTAATCTTTGAAGAACAAAAAAAAATACAATAACCAGTGGATGTAACTCTTTTTTGATAGAGTGAATCACTATAAAACCATTTGTCTTTTTACTTTCGTTATAACAATAAATCGATACATTTTCAATATACCTTGACAATAAACACAATTAGTTGCATAGATCAGAGAATATAACTAGTTTTGGCCGGTAACCCAACAGATCACCGAGTGGTAATCCGGTGTAATCTTGTTGATAAAATTTCACCGTCAACATTTAGTTTTTTTTTTCTTATTCTTTTTTTAAGGGCATTTAAAGTTGACTATTGATTGAAAAAAAAATGTAAGAATTGAGCATAAAATTTAAATTTGAGGGATAAATGTCCTACAATCTAAAATTTATGATTGTTTGGTAACCTTAAATGGTAGGGAATAAAAATGGAAAAAGGACCCTTTAATAAATGTCCTAAGTTTAGTTATTTAGGAAAATGAAAATTTTTTAATTTAAAATGGCCAATCAATGATTGGCTGATTGATTTGGTGGTCAATTGACTTCAATCCGTCTTTAACCAATATCAATTAATGATTTATCAATCAATTACTAATTAACTTGATCTAATTGCAAAACGCAACTATTATTTCAATTCCAAAAAATAATCTATATATGCTATTTATTAAAAGTGGCAAAAACCAACCACCCCACCTAATTTTTCTATTATATTATCTATATGGGAACAATTTATTTTGTTAAGTTAGTGATTTGCGTAAAAAAAAAAAAAAAATCCATGAAACTCTTTGGAATAGATATTGAAAAGTGGAAATTGTGGTTTTGTTAAGAGATTGCAAAATAATAAGAGTTGAAACATTAAGCGATTGCTGCTTTGGGGGATATGGCATATTGTGGTTGTAGGGAAAAAAATCATATAATTTATGTTTTTTCATGATAGATAGAATTTAATTACATAATGAAATCTATGATATATAGTTGTTTTTATCATTTCATAGGACGATCTTTTGTAATTAGAGCAGGTATAAAGTCAAATGGGATATTTGTGTAGAACAAATTACTGTAGATATTTTGGTTTAAAAGATATGATAAAATGGAATTATTTCTGTTCCCGTTTTGTTAAAACTCGAAAGTCAAATATGATCCGATAGTTTGATACTAATAATATAATTCCTAAAATGTGCACGCACAACGATTTACTATATCTTTGAAATTGAAAGCGTTTTACTAATTTTGCATAACGACTTTTTTCATGCGAGTACATACATCGTGAATTTTGGCAATAAACCAAGCAACATTAATCACGCACGTATATGCAAATATTCCGTCCATATAAATTGTTTTGATTACCCGAAATTCCATCAACATTAATGCCATTCTACACATGTCATGCGTATATGTGTGTATATATATATATATATCTATATATTTGTACACATAGGAGTACTCTTCGTACAACTTCACATATCTTATTCAAATCACACTCTTCAAACCATGGCTCTAATATTCACCTATCTTTTCTCCTTACCACTTTCACTCCTCTTCATCTCTTTAGTATTCACTGTCTCATCAGCCCTAAGCCATGATCATGATCACAAGAATATTATTAACAGCTTCAGCGTTGACCTCATCCACCGTGACTCCCCAAAATCTCCATTTTTCAATCCGTCCGAGACTCCTTCCGAGCGCCTAACCAACGCTTTTAGCCGCTCCATCCACCGCAATAAAAAACTTTTGACACCATCACCGAACGATGTCCAAGCCACTGTGTTATCGAACAGGGGAGAGTACCTCATGGAGATCTCCATCGGGACGCCGCCGTTTCGCATCCTCGCTATCGCCGACACCGGGAGCGACCTCACGTGGACGCAGTGCAAGCCATGCACCCATTGCTACAACCAAACGTCGCCTCTCTTTGATCCCGCTTCCTCCAAAACCTACAAAAACATCCCATGCAAAACAAGCACTTGCATGTCCATAACAAGAGGCACGTGCGTCACCAATCCGAAACTTTGTCCCTATGACGTCGAATACGGTGACAGGTCCCACACCGAGGGATACCTCGCAAACGACACTCTAACCCTAGCTTCCACCACCGGTCGGCCGGTGTCGTTTCCGAAGTTTATACTTGGATGTGGGAAGGACAATGCTGGGACTTTTGATAAAAGGGGCTCAGGGATTGTGGGGCTTGGAAAGGGTCAAGAATCACTTGTTTCTCAGCTAGGTTCCTCCATTGGTGGCAAGTTTTCTTACTGTTTGGTTCCTCTTTCTTCTGAGAAATCAAGCAAGATGAACTTTGGTAGCATTGCTCAGGTTTCGGGTCCTGGAACGGTGTCTACTCCCTTGCTTCCAGGTGAATGTTATTATATTGTTATACACACACACACACACACACACACACACATATATATATATATATATATATATTTGCGCGAGTATAATTACATAATACCTTTTTTTATTTTTTTTATTTTTATTTTTCCTTTTGGAGGGTATGTGTTGTTGAAACTAGAGACATCATGAAATTTTTGTTAAACTCACCCCAAAAATACTTCATTTTTCCATCGGAAAAATATTCACAAATTACATGTCTTTTTTGTTTTTCAGTGAGAGAATACACTTTTCATCAAAACAAAGAAATATATACTTATTTTGTAATGTGTATATTATCTATTTGTGTAACTAGTAACTCAACATTTACTTATTTTTTTTTATTATTTTACCCCTACTCTCTATGGTTATTCAGTCATGTCTCTAGTATCAATTGTAAGTATGTATATCCTGTAATATATCAGAGCAAAAAGTGAATGTGGTGTAATAATTTTACGTATCTACGAAAGGAATGTGACATAATTTTGCTAATGTAAACTCTTCGTATTCAAAAAGAAAAGAATCATACATATAATAATTTCTCTGTTCCCTACATTTTATTTGTATATACATCTTTGATTCACGAATTTTAATTACACATAATTCTCCTTCTAAATTAAGTTTAAATTTTTGCTAGCAGGCAGTATGCGTGTTCATTCTCAAATGTGAATAAGGGAAAAAAAATGATATCAAAACAACGAAAGGGCACATTAAACCAATATGAAATCTATGATATCTTTGCCACAATCTATTTGATATTTTGATATAAATAGGTACACACACACACACACACACAAACACACATATATATGCAATGTGCTTTATATTTATGTCATGGATATATATCTCAACCGTTGCATAAAATTCCAAGTTCTTTCCTGATCAATATTGATTAATTACTTGTACAAAATCTATGTCGAAGTAAAGTATTTACATATACATTATCTTCTCTTTTTGGTTACAGATGATTTCCGGCCAGAAAACTTCTACTTCATTACTTTGGAAGGAATAAGCGTTGGATCCACCAGGGTGAAGTTTCGTTACGGAGTTGAGCAAGGCAACATAATAATCGACTCAGGCACTACGTTGACGATATTGCCGTCGGATTTTTACTCCGATCTGGAATCCGCGGTGGCGAAGGAGACAGATTTGGAACGTGTCGAGGATCCGACCGGATTCTTGAGCTTGTGTTACAAGAGTCCTGAATCTGGGGCTGAATTTCTAGCCCCTAATATCACTGTGCATTTTAGTGGTGCGGATGTGAATCTTAGCACTTTGAACACCTTCGTTAGGGTTTCCGATGATGTTGTGTGCTTTGCTTTTTATGGCGATGACTCCGGAAGCACTTCGATTTATGGGAATTTGGCGCAGATGAACTTCTTGGTGGGCTATGATAGGCAGAAGAGGACTTTGTCCTTCAAGCCTACCGACTGCTCAAAAATGTAGTGCATTTTTTTTTCTTTTTTGTTTGTGTAATGCAATACAATATTTGCATGTTTAATTAGTTTTTGTTTTATGAGCCACAACGTACTATTACTATTAGAATAATAAATGTTTTAGTTGGGTCAATTTGTTGTCCTAATTGTGCTGATTGAAAAATGTCTCTTGTATAATATTAAACTATTACGAGTGCAATGTTCTCTCTCTTTTTATATGTTCTCTGGTACTCAAATTTTTTTTTTTTTTGGTTGAATATATATCTCCAATATTAAGTACTTAAAAGTTCAAATCACTATTTTTTTAAAATATTTAAATTTTCTTTGTTACATTAATTTCAATAGAAAAATGCTAGAGATCCTAACCATTTGATACCATCTCATAATGTCTTAATTAATGACATAAAAAAATGTTAAAAAATAACAGAAAAACGAAATTGGAATTAAAGAGAATCCCGCAGGTTGTTTTGCCAATTTTCCCTAGCTAGGATCTCTACATTAATTTGGATATAATGTCGTAAATAGGTTTCCTTTCAAAATTAATTTCTAATTGATTCTCCTTATCCTAAAAATGAATCAATCAATGACTGCACCTCTATATAGTGTGTGTGTAATTATAAATGAATTTCTAAATATAGGTGAATCTTCAAAGTAAGTTGCAAAGTAAAAAGTCAAGTAATTCTCATTGGCGTGAATTAATGGGTTTAACTTGATAAACAGGATCCAACGTAATGCAAGTAATTCAATTGAGCATTGACTATAACGAGCACAAAAATAAGTCATGTTGTACCGAAAGAAAATGAACATTTTCAGATCAGACCCAAAAAGAAGAGAGAGAGAGAGAGAGAGAGATGGCAGGCACAAGAAATCCATCACTTATTTTCATTTCATTTCTCACTTCAACTGTTCTGTTCTTTGCTATTAATTTCTCTCCCAAAATATTCGTCCGCAGATGATAACATGAAAGATGGTGCCTTGATCAGCCTAGAACTGATCCATCGTACTGAATCGCCAAAATCTCCCTTATATTCTCCTTCACAAAGTCCTTGGGAACGCTTAGCCAACGCCTTGAGACGATCAAATATCCGCATCAAAACTTTGAGGGCGTACCAAAATTATAATATCAATGCACCACAATCTGATCTAGTATCTAGCAAAGGAGAGTACCTAATGACTATCTTTGGCTGCGGTCATCAGAACGGAGGAATATCTGGCGGGATCGAGTCGGGGATTGCCGGACTTGGAAGCGGCAAATTGTCCCTTGTTTCTCAAATGGGGTCTTCAATAAATGGCAAATTCTCTTATTGCTTGTCTTCTCCATCTAAACTCTCAAGCAAAATAAATTTCGGTGGCAAAGGTATGTTTTCGAGCCCCGGTGTGGTATCAACTCCTTTCCTTTCAAAGGCCTCATTGCCTTACTACTACCTTATACTTGAAGGAATTAGTGTTGGAAGCAAGAGATTTAATGTTCACAATAGTACTAATATGAGTCCTTTATCAAGCAATTTTTGGTGGTCTTTTAAGGGAAACATTGTTATAGACTCCAGAGCTACGTTAAGCTATTTGCCTAGACAGCCAATTGGAAACAGCAATGAGGGAGGCAATTGGTAATTCTTTGGAGGAGACAAAGGCCGTGTTTGGAATTAATCCCTTTTTTTACGTTTTTCGAGAAATAAAAAATAAAAACGTTTCTAAAACGGCGTTTAACGCAATAAAGACAAAAAACGGAAATGAAAACGATTTTTTGGTTTAGTGTAAAATGAGAGAGAAATGAAAAATGATTTTTATCGTTTTTCATTTTTTATTTTCGTTTTCTCCTCTCTCGAGCAGAGAGAAAGAGATAGAGACATTAATGGATTTTTTTATACTGAAAATAATCTCTTGATAAAACTACCAAACGCATTTTTAAAAAAGATTTCTGTATGAGATTAAAAACGTTTTAATTTTTATTTTCATACAAAAAAGAAAATCATTTTAGAACGAATTCCAAACGCACCCAAAAGAACCGGCGCCATTGGCATGCCCATTGTTACTTTTCATTTCAAAGGTGTGGATTTGAAGCTGAAGACCTTTAACACCTTCATTAGGGTCAAAGAAGACATTTTGTGCCTTGCGTTTGCCCCATCCGATGAGTTGTTTTTTTGTCTTTGGTAATGTAGCACAGAGGAACTTCTTGGTGGAGTTCGACCTAAAACGGAAGGTCGTATCATTTAAGCCAACTGATTGTACCATTATTGAGAACTAATATTTAACATGTGTACTACATATATATATATATGGACCTATGGTATTATTATATATGCTAGTTTTCTATAACATGTTGATGCCATCTCAATTCTCAAGTTAATACATAATATTATGAATTTGATATTGATGCATGAAATTTGTGTTAGTTTCCCACTTCGATAGTTACAATTCAGATAAGGTTTCGAGTATTTTGTTGGCTTGTGTGCATATTTGTCAATCTCTAGTGCGGGTTTCCTATATGATCTATTTGATTGTTGGATTCTTGCAGGCGTATTATGTCCCTTAACTACTTATTTACCATGCCATTAAAAATTATAATTTAATATTAAAAATACTTAAATAGTTTATAAAGTGTCAAAATTTAATTGACGAGACAACAAATAAAACGCGGAAATTGAAAATGAGACAACAGATTTCAACTTAAATGCAATGAAGTCAAATTTGATGTCTCCATTTTTCTTTTTATTAATGTGCCAATGAATCTCGTTATAAGAAATTGTAGTTTACCAATGGTTGAAAATTAACAACTCACTTACATAGCATTACCCTATTTGTATGTAATAATATATACCCGTGGAATAATGGCGAGTACGTTACAAGTTTTGGGAAAATATTTCTTTTAAATCTTATATAGAAAATTGTTTATAAAATTAATTCATCCGCCAGTTGTAGGTACTTGTAGGTAAATTCCCAAAAAGCTAGCTACATATTTACATGTATATGAGTTAATTCTTTTGAAGAAAAAGCTCAAATAAACTCTGGAAAAAGTAAAATTACTAAAATACGTTACGAACCAGTCCCATGGCTGAAATAGTGGTCACAAAATACAGTCTTCTCTTCACTTTTGGATTGACTTGGATGATCTTTATAATTTTATTTTGCTAGTCCGATGATATTGATGATTAAATTGTAAAAGATCGTGCGAATAAGGAAACAAAATCAAAATATCCAAACTTCTACTTTCAGATTTGAAGTGAAAAAGGTTTTAAGATGTAGATCATCTAAACCTTCGGGCTAGTTTCCCTTGTGGGAAATCGTAGATGGTAAATAACATTTTAATTAGAAAGAAAATTGTGAGGGTAAAAATGTGTTTACGTTTAACTAAAAATTAGTAAATATTATGCAAATATAAAACAATTAGCTAGTAAAATCTAGATAAAAAAAAAATGCATATTTTGGGGCCTTTTGAGAGAGAATCTGTAATTCTCGAATTTATCAAATTTAGTCATGTTGTAAATCTAGTAAATCCCGAATTTACAAAACTTCTATCATTGGTCAAATCCAAGTAAATCTGGATTTACCAAAATTGACCTTGCATTAAATCTGGTAAATTCAAGACGTATTTCTATTTATTAATTCACAACAAATTACGTCATTTATTTTTATTCTCTTAACAAATAGGCTTTTTTGTATGCCATATCTTCCATTCAAGTTATAGCAAAGTTGTCTTTATAAATCCAACAGATTCTCAATATTTTAAGAATCTTATCTCCATTCCGAAAGAGGGGGAAGATTTACTAAAAACGCTATTACCTTTTTACTAAAAAACACAAGTTTTACTTAAATATGCCATGAGATATTGGTACAACAAGTGAAAGATTTACTAAAAACGCAGTTACCTATTTACGGCCATATCAACATTACACATTTTTTCCTCAAATATTTTTGCTTAATTTGTCTTTCCTTTTTTTGTTAAAAAAAAAAAAAAAAAAAAAAGTTGTTCAAACGCTATTTCCTTTTTACTAAAAACACAAGTTTTACTAAAATATGCCATGAGTTATTGGTACAACAAGTGAAAGATTGACTAAAAACGCAGTAACCTCTTTAACATTACACATTTTTTCCTCAAATATTTTTGCTTAATTTGTCTTTCCTTTTTTTGTTAAAAAAAAGAAAAAGAAAAAAGTTGTTCGTCCTCTCTCTCTCTCAACGTCCTTCATTGTTTCCCCATCTCCAAAAAGTAATAACCATGGCCAACCGTTCTCTCTTCTTTACATCGGTTGTTCTAAGCTTGCTCTTTGTTTCACTTTCTTCTGCAGAAACCAATCATGATCACGATGATCAAACTCATCAAAATGTTTTGATTACCACGGAACTAATTCACCGCGAGTACTCACCAAAATCCCCACTCTATTCTCCATCCCTAAACCAATGGGAACGCCTGGCCAATTCTCTTCAACGTTCTCATCACCGGGCCAATTACCGTTTCAAGAGAAACTCTTCCGA